AATGAAATTGAAAGTTGAGAATACATATATTTTGGTTGTGTATACATTGCCAAAAATTCATTTATAGTCTTTCTGACGAAATCGGAATTATTGGTGCAATTGGGTCATTGGCTTTATGATGCTCAACAAACTTGTAGTTTGTCATCATTACTTGTTTGGGGTTTGGAACGTGGCGGTGACGTAACCCGCGTGAGTCGCGTTAAGTTATGATGTTATTTTTGTTCAGTATTGTTTGGCATTTTATCGTTGAAAGACTTACGTCTGAATAATGTTTACAAATTGTTCAACTTTATTACGAAAATTCACGTTCTGTAAAGAATGTGTTTCGGGAGCTTCGCTCAACTCATAGTCAACATAATCGGCCTACTGAGCGTACTATTCTTAATCTTTAGACCCAGCATTCATTATTGGATAATATTCGACCAAATAGACGTCCAGCACCGTGGGGAGTCGATTCAGCGGTCGATTCGCAGTAACTCGGTCAGCGTATGGAACGACGTGGCACATTTTATGTAGAGATCTTAAATTGAAAGCGTACAAATACAGCTTGTGCAAGAACTGAAGCCGCTCTACCTTCCCAAGCGACATCGCTTCGCTCTATGGGCTCTTGAAAAGTTCCAAGAAGATCCGACGTTTTCGAGCAAAATTTTTTTCAGCGATGAGGCCCATTTTTGGCTCAATTGATATGTAAACAAGCAAAATTTACGCATATTGGGCGAATTTAACCTGAAGAGATTCAAGGGCTGCCATTTCATCCAGAAAAAACAACTGTTTGGTGTAGTTTGTAGGCCTGTGGAATCATCCGTCCATATTTCTTTAAAAATGATGCCGGTGAGAACATAACCGTCAATGGCGACAGTTATTGCGCCATGATAACCGACTATTTGATGCCTAAAATTGCAGCCCGTGATCTCGGCTATATTTGGTTTCAACAAGACGGCGCCATTTCCCATACATCGCATCAATCAATGGGTTTATTGAGAGAACACTTCGGTGAGCAGATAATTTCACGTTTTGGGGCGGTCGATTGGCCACCAAGATCCAGTGATATCACACCGTTAGACTTTTTCCTTTGGGGATATGCAAAGTCTTAAGTCTATAACCCCAGATAACATCGCTTCGATTCTGACCTTAAAACAAACCATCACGCGTGTCATTCGCCAGTTACCAGTCGAAATAGCCGAACGAGTCATCGAAAATTAGACTCAATGGATTGACCAGCTGAGACGTCGCCGTGGTCAACATTTGAAAGAGATATACCCCAAAAAATAAATGCCAAAAAATCTCCTTTCGAATGTTAATAAACATTCCCCATTAAATTTGAACTTTCTGTGTTTTTTCTTTAAGAAAGTAAAGAACCTTAAAATGTATCACCTAATAGAATCTAATCGTAGTCGATACCACAGCTGGGCGGGACCGGACCGTTGCCACGTCCACAAAATGCACTTAAGAAAAACCATATAAATACCATATATATACTAAGCAATAAATTATGGTAAATTCTGTGATTTCTTCAATACATATTTAGTTCCTTCGCAACATGTTTTTACTCTTACAACACGTTGCTTCAGATTATAATAGTTTTGTTCACCTAACGGTTGTTGGTATCACCTAAAACTAATCGAGATAGATATAGGTTTATGTATTCAGGGTGGTGCACGAATCATGCTTCAAAAATAAACCGTAATGACTTTTTTCCCGTGAGTAATCGACTTCCATTTTTTTATTAGGCAGCTTATTATGTAGATTTTTTAAAAATGAATGGTACCATGCTTTGCAGTCTGTCATTTCCGTCCAAAGGGAATTCAGACACGATTTTGGCAGCCCTCCCCCGAGTAGATGGACCATTATGAGGTTGGTGGACATGTTTGCCGAATCTGGAAATATCGCAAGAAGATTAGAGCATCGAGATCCGTATGTTCGTGCTTAAGAAACAATCGCGGCTGCTGCATCGTCAATTCTGGCAAATCCAAGAGTTTCGACTCGCAACTTATCGGCGCAACTTGGAGCTAGCAGACGGTTATTACAACGGATAATTCACGATGACTTAAACCTGTTTTCGTACAAAATTCATGTAACAAGCCGGTGAAACCCTCTAGATTTGCCTGTTCGCCTAGAATTTTGCCAAAAAATTATTGAAATGGCCGAAGAAGACAATAACTTGATAAATTGCCTGTTTACGTCTGATGTGGCCCATTTTGATCTAAACGGAAATGTAAGCAAGCAAAGTATTCAATAAATCAAATCCGGAAATAATCCACGAGATGGAACTTCGCCCAGAAAGAGTCACGGTGTGGTGCGCAGTTTCATCAAGGTGTATTGTCGGGCCATACTTCTTTAAAGAAAACGGTGTAACAGTAACTGTAAGTGGGCACCGTTATTCAAAGATGTTGAATGAGGTTTTTTACCCAGAGCTGCGCCAAAGACGTATTCCTTTCAATAGCGTTTGGTTTCAGCAAGATGGAGCAACTACACACATAGCCAGACCGGTTATAGAGAAGCTCCAACGAAAATTTTAAAACAAATTAATATCATGGAACTCTACTTTTCGCTGACCCTCAAGGTCGCCTGACCTGACTGCACCAGATTTTTTTTATGGAATTATATATAGGTGTACAAAACAAAACCCAGAAATCTGACTGAACTGAAGCAGTCCAATAAATCGTTAATTCACTTAATCCCGACTTTAACCCTTTAGGCTGCAATGAATAATTTTCTAGTTAGGTGTCGTATATGCGTGGCTGAACATGGAGGTCATAATAGGTCAGTTATATATAACAAAATACAATGTAATTGATTTCAAAAAATGATTTGAAAAAAATTATTACGGTTTGTTTTTGTAGCACAACTCATGCACCACCCTGTATATAAATGATCAGGATGACGAGACGAGTTAAACTCCAGATGTCTGCCGAAAGCTGTAACTTGAGTAAAAATTCAGATATCGTCATGGCGTAATCAGACCACTGCCTAGTTCACAAACGCCATTAATCAGAAACCTGCAAATTGCCATAACTAAGCCGCAAATTATTATATAAAACTGTAAGTTACAACGAATCGCAATAACGAGGAGCCCCCTACTGGGTTTGTGTAGGGTATCTCCCCTTTCAAGCTCTCCCCATTCAAGCTGTAGAATAACTGAAATTGGATGATAACCACGCCACTTCCCTTATCGGTTTTGTTAAAAAGTATTAAAAAGCAATAACTTAATACGTCAAAGGCATGCGCAATCCGCATACGTGCGGGATAAGCCGAGTCAAAAAAGGCAAGAGAGTTTTTTAAGCGTTGAGATCTAGAACTGGTACAGAAAAAATGTCAACAGCTAAGATTTATAATTATATATAGAGAAAGCTATATAGTCTTTTTAATTTTAAGTGAGTCAGATTAGTCAAATGTGCTGGAATGAGAATTAAAATCATGACATATTTGGCGGAATGGTTCTTTTAGTTCGAAATTTGATTTACAGGATTTTAACAGTAAACGTCTAAAGGGTGCACAGATCTACGGGAAAAGCACATCGTCTTACATTAATTTAGATTCAATGGCAAATCATTTCTATCACACGATGCAACCAAATTGTTTAAGTCTGCTTGCAACATACAACTTTCCTCAGTTGAAGTGTATGATTTAAAAAGCTTTACGTCGTCGGCGTATTATAAAATTTTTGAGGATTCTATTACAGTAGAGATATCGTTAATAACTAGCAGGAACAGAATCGGGCCAAGATGACTACCTTGCGGAACACCTCAAGAGACATTAATTGTATCTGAAAGAGTACCCTCAAATATCACTCATTGTGTTCTATTATAAAGATAAGAAGTTACCCATTGAAGAAATCTTTGCTGAAAACCCAGAAGGTCAAGTTTATGTACGAGAGTCGAGAGATTTACTTTATCAAAAGCTTTGCTAAAGCCTGCGTATAGAAGATCCATATACTTATGTTTCCTAAAACCCAATGATACATGGTTTACAAATTAAAGTGAATTTGTTAGAGTCGATTTCACTTTACAAAATCCATGCTGAGAAGAAGAAAAAAACAAAAGAAATCAAAAAAGTTATGTGGTTTGCGATATTTTACAATACCCCTATAGTTTTCAATGTTTGACCTATGGTAAATCCAATTGTATACAAAGGAGGGATTATAAATGGCTGTTTCCATATTGAAGGAAATATATCGTGTTTAAGAGAGGAATTATCTCTCTTGAAATGATAGATCGTGGTCGGAAATTTAGAAATCCTGCATTTGAAGTTAACGAAATCATAAAACGATTTTTGATTACGTACAATATTCTTGTTTACCTTAATTTAGTAATAATTACAATAATTTTGCTTAGATCAAAATACTGTCGACGCAACACAGAATATTTAGAATAGTCGAGAAGTGAATCGGTTTTTTAAAAATGTTTTAAGGCTAAAGTTTTTCTTTTTTTCAATTCATGTAACTCTCTTTAAAACCACGTACGATCACGTGCATTGCCTTTGAATTCGACAGATATTTCCAAAGCACGATGATATGAGTCCTCTGGTAGAACAAGAGGACTACTCTGAATAACGCAACACTTTGAAGAGGTATCAACGTATTCCAAATCTGAACATTTACCAAATTTATTCGGAACCAAATTAATTTGGTTCAGACCCAACTCGGACATTTTTTCGAAAAACTCATTAAAACATGACCGATTGCAAATCGGTACGATGTAGTGATCGAAAGCTTTCACGAAGCACACGGTAAATTAAAATCGACATTTGAGCTGCTCTTAAAATGCTTCATGTTTATAAATTAAAGTTATTAGCAGCACTCATTTATTATTATTAAATAAAAGTTGGTAGCTACAATTAAAATGAGTACAAGACAGCCTTGCAATGTCCATAAGCTTAAATCTCAGTGGCGGGAATCATGTGTGCGTCCCTCACGGTGGGCAACGTTTCAAATACCCCACTATTAACTGTGGAATTAGCGATTTGCTGGTTACCATATTTATGTTTGTAAAGATACTTACATTTCAGCACGAGAATTTCTAAGGTAGGTTTGCAATTTTCCTCGATTCACAAATTCAATAATTACGAATATCGGGTCTTTGTCGGTGCAACATGCAAGTAATCGGACAACATTGATATGAGGTTCAAGTGACTTCATAACCTGAAACAATGTAGAATTAAACAAGTATAGTTTATTTATTTAGTTCTAATAATTCATTAAGATTTATAATAATGTATGGTTTAAATTGTGCATATTAAAGACTGGCACTAATAACTTAAAATATAACATATTAATAGTCGATAATTTCAAATATAAACCAGGGTGGATAATTTTTGAAAGCAAGAAAAATCATAGTGGGATGAAACCCATTAAAAACAAAAGATAAAAATCAAAACTGAATGGAAAAATATCGAAAAAAATCCTAATATTTAAGAAAAAATTTTCACGTCACGTTCTTTTAACAAAGTCGGTAAGCTTTTTCTGTGTAATCTCTACTTTTTACCGATATAAAAGTTATATAACGCGGTAAACGATTTAGTAAAACAAACTACTTCGAAACAATAAATATAATAGATAAAATAAGAAACAGCTTTGAATCATTTGGAAGGGGCCTTTGTTTCCTTTTTTTGAGAAAATTTATTATAGTAATGAATACAATTCTAATACCATCAGAAAGTAGAGATATCAACAATTATAAAGGGTTACAAAAGGATTAAAAAAGATCAGGGTTTTAGTGTAAGATCCATGATTAATATTATTAACAAAAACAAAGTTCAGCAATCAATGTACAAAGTAGAACTTGAACGAAACTCGGTTCAATTGAAAAAAATTAATACACTCCATTTATGAATTGAAATATTTGCGATACCGGAGAATTTCAGTCGAAGAGTCACATAACAGAAATAGTCCAATGCATGATTGCCAAGAATTCGGCAACACAAGCTCTTACTGTACGTTTTGTACTATGTGAGTAACTTGTGGTGGTAATCACACTGCAAACTATAGAGGTTGCCCTGTTTATAAATAATATATAAATTGTGCCTACACCTCTAGCACAAGATTGAGAAACTGCGACAAATCAGTTTCTTCTTCAAACATTCCAACATTCTTAATAAATAAGTCCTGTTATGCAGATACATTAAAAATAAATATTTAGAAAATGTCCTCAAACACGAAAATGGGTGATGTAGAAGCTATGATACTTAATATGATTTAGCACTTAATCAAAGCCCAAAATCAGCTGTTGATTGCTTTAGTAAATAAAAAATGAGAGAATGAACTAAAGATATGTACACACATGGAACGCAAACGGCATCAGCCAACACAAGGCGGAACTTAGCAAGTTTCTACAAGAACAGGAATGATCAAATTATTGGAGCAACCAAATATTGCTGAGAAATCATTTCGCCTAACAACGCCCAGATTGGCTTAAGTACAAGAAATTTCTTAACACCCGGATGCAAGAGAGAACCCGAAGTAGTATGTGAAATTCATATAGGGCACAATATTAACTTATTCAACTGTTTGCTCTCAACAGCGGCTACTGTAGCAACATCAAAACCAAGCAATAATCTCTGAAGTACAATACGAACCACTAACAGCCTAATTGAACGCTTTGTAATCGAAAATCGAGTAATTGTTCATCTAAATTAAAACTAAAAGCTAATGAGAAAAAATTTAGGAAACCTTTAAAAGGTGAAGAAGAAGCGCACTTAAAAAATTTGTATTTCTACATTGTCCTCTCAGACAAAAAACCGGTGCTTAGGCCTGATCAGAAGGAGAAAAGGCACACTGTTTTGCAGATCATCTTTGCTAAGTATTTTAACCAAATACGATAATGAAACATTTCTCGATTCCATCACTGCCTCACAATGTACTGAGGACAATCCCAAAATGTGTATAACTTTGGTTGAATAATAAAAGTGGAATAAAAAGAAGACGCCTCGTTACGACCACATAACACTGCAAATCCTAATAGAGTTACCAAATATTGCTTTCAATTTCTTGTCTCAACTTTTTAATGCCATCCTAAAGTTTGGATACTTTCAGAAAACGTGCTAAATGTCGCAAAATATTCAGATAGCCAAACCCAGAATAGACGCAACGCTGCCGTCATCATATCGATCATATAGCTTGTTGCCCGTTCTTTTAGCTTTTAGAAAAAGTATTGCTATCCAAAATATTTCCCTTTCTTCGAGAATACAAAACTACATATTCCAAATCATCAATTTGGTTTTCGCGAAAAACATGGTACTATTGAACAAGTCTACCGCATCACCTATGAGATCAGGAGGGCATTTGAGTTGGAAGAGTATTGCTCAGAGATATTTCTTGAAGTGGCCAAGCATTCGATAAAGTATAGCATGATGGACTCATCAGACTCATAAAGACAGAAACATGTCTAACACTGAAGTTAAATTTCACCTAGACTTTGGTTTGACTTGGAAGAGTCACATTTCTGCAAAAATACAACACCTTAAACTTAAAACCGACTGCTTAAATTAGTTATTGAGTATAAATTCAAAACTATGCTTGGACCATAAAACCCTTCTATCCGATTCAGTCATAAAGCCAATGTGGATGTATAGAATACAATTATGGGGCTCTGCCCGTGCAACTATCATGCGCAACGAGAATACACATAGAGATGTTGAAATATCAATGGTAAATACAGAAGTAAATACCTGTCGAATCTGCAAAATTATCCTAATCCCCTAGCAAAAATGTTATCCTGCATAGCTAGTGGAACATGTCCTCAGCAATTTATTAGTTATTAAGATTCTAAAACTTATCGTTAGGCTTAAATTATGTTAGTAGATTCAATTCCTGGTTATTAAAAACAAATAAACAAAAAAAAAATTACGTACAGACGTACAGCATGTAAAACAGGGAGCGCCATTCCAACTATTGCTCGACTATGATGCGAACAGGGTGTGCATGTTTTGCAGTTCTGCCATTAAGTTTTTTGTATGCCGTTCATTCCTACAGCTTTGTTCAGCTTAAGCCTATTAATTTAATATAAATTATATATATATTTCCTTTCATCATTGCTTGGGCAGTATATAGCTATGTTATTGCGTGAAATTTTATTATCAATTTAGCATTGGTTTCTAAGGTTTCTCGAGCAATATGCCTGATGTTGTCGTTCGTGGCTACCCAGATGCAAGGTTGCTCCTCTCTGCGCAAATTTTCGTTTTCGTGCCCTGTTTTCTTCTTAGTGTTGGTGTCTTGCAACAATGTTGAAACGCTTATGTCCGCCATGGATGTCGAGATTCGTATTACATCCCAGCTTTACCTTCACGTTGTCTGTGATCAGTTCGTGGTAGCCTATGTCTGACATCGAGTAGCGATCTTCTCCACTTCCCATTAACACAAATGTCGCCAATCTGGTTGCAAGTTTTCCCATTTGAGGAGGTGTACTTGTGTTTTCCTTTCGGGGGAAGATGGAACCGCCAATGACCAGCTGAAACGTCTGGCACAACTTTATGTGCCTCTCGCCATTGTTCGTCAGCATCAAAGTATCATTTATCCGATCAATGCCAACAAAGCAAGAAATTATGGGAATGAGCGGAAGAGTAGTTTAAGACTAATTAATAAAATCCGCCACATTACCCTGATTTCCCCACAAGCGGATAACCGAATTAAAGCAAAAGCTATAGTCCTACCGCAACTCACTAACATGCTTTCAAGCTATCATATAAATAGCAAGAATTGGCAAAAGTTTCCATACCTAAATCTAGCAGATACCAACTGCAACACCCCATCTTAAATATATAGTATATTATATTAGGCAGCGATCTTATACTGTAATAATTTCCACAATATCCGCTCAAGTTGAGAAGAATTCAAACCAATACCTTAATTCACAATTAAGTAAATTTCGCGAGTTCGGGAAACTCCCCCCTTTTCAAATACAACAATAGAAGATCGGTATTGTGAAGACTTCTATAAAGGCGCGATTACTTGCTCAAATAATGGCCGGTATGTCGTACGACTACCACTACTTTCCAACACTCCACAAATTGGTACAAAACACCAAGTCAGAGCTTCTTCTGACAACCCCAGTGTTAAAAAAACAAATGTGTATATATAATTCAACCAAATAATCCAAATATATTACTAAATATTCCAAAAGAAAATTTGTTGTACACTAATTTCCTTAAATTCGAAAAGGGCAGTACAACAAAAACACAGGGAATCCAATGGAATGCGATATCTGACCACTTTTCATATTTTACTAAGCCAATATCCGCATTATCCGCAATAACAATTTCGACCCCGCAAGATGGCTTTCGCCAATTATGATACAAGCGAAAATCATAATTCTTCTTCACTTAGAGAAATGGTCGCAATTCTCTTCACTTCCATACATAACATTGTCCGCAACATACGAGTAAATTGTCCTAGGAAGTTGAAAAACTGACACTTCTCTTACTATAGTGCCTTATGGTTGCCTAAATTTTATAATTATGACACAATTCAAAATTAAAGTTAAGAGATCACTATACTTCCAATGTGATACAGTGATACACGCAGACTTTCAAGAAGCAAACGTCGCACTTATTGCATCTATCTAAGCGCTCATCATACGGGTAGTTTATGGGAAACCCATGTAAAAGTTGCAAATGTCACTTCAAAAAAGTGAGCGAAAATCACAAATCCCGCTCTCGCAAGATCCCTCTTCAAAGGTTTCAAAGGATCACTAATTCTGGCCATATCTAAGCTAGGCGGGGAGTCACTAACCTTAATTAGTCGACGGTAAAGAAATTTTAAAAAAACGGTACAAATAATAAACCGATAAAAGACAAATATCAAATACAATCACTTCTTATTGTATTGACAACTACAAAATCAAATAAACTCTCATTATAAAGTGGCTTTTCTCAAGCCTATACCTATGTACATAAAAATATAAATTTCGATTAAAACCAAAATTGATTCTTACTTCTTACAGCTAATATTCGCGCCCTCGGCTACTCCATCCATAGCACGTCGAAATGCATAATCCAGCCAATACGTGCAATACTAGGAAAAATATACGCCTAGGGGCCCAGTATGGTAAAATGAGCTAAATGTTCTCCTCGCATATACACCAATAAAACGGGTACATTATTGGCACGAGTACATTATACAAGGTGCGTTCCAAATTAAACCGGACT